ATATAATTATTTATTTAAAAATATTATTCCAACACGCTACATAAGAGTTCTCATGTTTCAAAAGAAGAGCGGAAAACTTCAGTATAATTTATTTGAATTAAATTGAATTAAAGTCAGCTCTGTTCCATCTTGAAGCGAAATTTTTTTGGAATAACTTATTTCTGAAATTTACGTGTTTTACAAGCATGCAGCGTGTTGGAATCATATTTTTAAATAAATAATTATATATATATATATATATATATATATATATACGCTTAAAAAAGCCGGCCTATCGGGTGGCATTTAAGCTACCTCCTTCGGAGGCCTCTTGATTCGACGTTTATCATAATAGGTAGGCAAGAGTAGATGCGATAGGCAACAATAAACTACAGAAAAACTGAAAATTGATCGCTGCATTTAAGTATTGCATTAATATTTAGGCTTATCTTTTAAAAGTTCAACGATAATTCTGATGCTTCCACCTAATTTAAAGACCATATGATGTACGCAGGTTCTGACTTTCATTAGAAACAGTTATTTTTTATTTAATGGTTGACTTTCGATGAATTTCGCAGTTAATTTCGAATATTCCCAAATTTATTTTCTAGGTATAAAAATTGTTGTCGTACAAAAAAAAAAAAAAAAATCGTCGCTAAAAATCAGGGAAAAAAAGTCGCCGAAAACAAGGGCACTAATGAAAACTTGGAAATTCAAAATTTCAGGATTGCGGGTCTGGATCCGCCCTGGAATGTTTTTAATTTGCTCACAGAATCGGCTTGATTCCAAATTGTATGATACGTCGGGCTACGGCCTCTAGGAGTAAAGTTGAAAAAGTGTGACACACTGACATCCGCATTTATTATATGGAAGAAGAAGATAAGCTATTGAAAGTTAGAGAGTGGTGTCCCTTTAAGTTGAAAACGTGTGACACAGTGACACACTGACATTCGCATTTATTATATAGATATATAATCTGTTAACGCCAAGCAAGGAGATAATGCCGCTAGGATTCAGAGGGTTACAGGGTGTAAGCGATTATGAGAAGTCCTTAGAGAGAAAAGTGATGAGAAAATACAATCGAAGAACAACGTTCAGGAAGACAGAAGATGGTAACTGATATAGCATTTAAATGTTTGAAGATCGTAGTTTTCAGGGAAGCAAAAAATCGGAAGGGAGTTCCACAGATGGGAAGAGCGCGAGAAAAGAATCTGTTATACTAGAAATGCCGGTGTTCAACAGTAAATCGGTGGGACCTAGTTGCCAATCGAGTAGCACTCTTAACTTCATGCAGTCAATGCAGTAAGGTACAAAGCTCGTCAGAGCAGTTACCATGAAAATATCGATATCCCGTGTCAGGATCGATGACATTGCATTTCTTTGAATTTTCTCAAGAATTTCGAGATGTACAGCAGGCGCATCAGACCAGATATGGCAACAGTATTCATTGCACGGATGAATGGTAGACCTATCAATGTGCAAGAGGGGTTCTGACGAGAAACCCCAAAAAACCCTGGAACAACAAGGTGACCCAACTCTCCTTGCAATAGACGTAGCAATTTATCTCTATCTATAAAAGGCAGGATGTGTGTGTGTGTTACGAATGCACGGCCGCAATTTTCGATGGATTTGCACCAAAATTTACATGCACATGCTCCAAGTTAGGAAAAAAGCCAAGACCGACTTTGCATTTCCCAACTCTCATCGATAGTGGAAATAATTGATTTTTTCATGCTTCTACGGCAGTTTTCATGTAGTTTGCGGCCATTTTGTACTGGCCAAAGTGAGAGCCAATAGCTGGCTGCCACGAATAAGCAGGAAGATTCTATTGGCCAGCGTGAGAGCCAACAGCTGACTGACAATTGGCTCATTCGCTTGCTTAAACTCAACGTTGATTCTGATTCCGCAGAACTGGGATGGATGTGAAAAAGTATTTGTTGTTAACATTCTTTTTTCATTCGGTTTTTCCAGTTACGAGTCCTTTTTTAAAGCTGATCGTTTTGTGTTCATTTTGTTTAGTTCTTTTTTCCGTAACATATTTAATGTTTAACATAGAGCTTAGAAAAAATTCGCATTGTGAGATAGGCAAGAAGTAAGACATGTAGCAACATCAGCATGGCAAAGGGCACTCGTTTAAATGCAAGGAAGGGGCAAAAATATTTGAAGTCAAGTGATAGCGATTGCTGTATGAGTCGTACGATTTTTGAATCAAGCACGGGCAACGCCGGGCCATGCTGCTAGTTCAATATAATCGCCAGTTCAAAAAACGTGAACCCCGGAAGGCGGAGAGTGTTGCCCCCTCCACCGGAGTTTACATGTAGTGATTAAATGAAAGCAGGCAAAAATTTTCAAAGGTTCTTTAAAAAATACTTAACTTCTAAAACGCTGAACAAGCACACAAACTTCTTTCTGCAGGTCCAAACTTACAGCACTTGGAATTCCCAAGCGGTCCCCCGTCTAGATACTGATCGGGCACGACGTTGCTTAACTTCGGCGGTCTTACGAGAAGCGGCGTTTCAATGAGCTGTGTTGTATTGTGACGCTAGTACGGAGACGTGTTTCTAGAGAAGGATGCTAAGGGTATCATGGATCGAGCGTATCCCCTTAGAGAGGATGCAAACAAGGAGGAAGCTTATACTTAACATCAGGAAAAGGCAGCTGTAATTTCTGGGACACATAATGAGGAAGGAGGGCCTGGAGAATCTGATACACACAAGTCGAATAGAGGAAAAGAGAGACAAGTGAAAACAATGCATGACATACCTAACTGCAGAACCTTTTACAGCTTTGAAAATGCTTTCTCTGCAATCCAAGAGTGTGATAAATTCAGATAGAGTCCTATTGCTTTGGCTTTCTTTCTTCCTCCGTGCTGGTTAATCGACCATTTTTTTTTTGCTTGCGCCGCGATCAGCAAGCTTTTTTTCTCCTTCTTGAGGACTAGGCAAAGACAATTTCCTCTCTGGTAGATATGTCTTTTGAAGAAAAACTTCAAAGACACAAGCGAACACGGTGGTAGTGGGGAAGTGTGCTGTGTCGAGGTTGGTCCCAACTCACTGAGCATGCGGAGCAGCGAGCGAATGCCAGCGCCGCCGGGAGTTACGGCTAAAATTGTCGTACACCAAAGTGGGAAGCATTCAAGCTGACAGACCCGGGGCAGTCGTGTACCGGCGCACCAATTCGCGGTCGTGGTCGTAAAGGTCGAGAAATCCTATGTTGTGTAGGTCGTAAGTCGACGACGACCTGTAGTCTACGCTAACGTTGAGATTGCACACGCACACACACACACACACACAAAAAAACCCCCAAAAAAACAAAACGGGCTTTCCGAGAACTCCCCTGGCCGACAGGATGAGGGTAATCACACACTGATATCAATTCGCGATTACTGACAACAAATATCCAAGATTATCCTTGTTCGTTTTTTTTTTTATAATAAAATCACTGGCAATATAATTATATTAAGAAGGAGGAGGAGAAGGTGAAGAAGGAGGAGAAGGAGGAGGAGGAGGTAGAGATGAAGATGAAGGAGGAGGAGGGAGGAGGAGAGAAGAAGAAGAAGAAGAAGAAGAAGAAGAAGAAGAAGAAGAAGAAGAATGAGGAGGAGCAGAAGAAGAAGAAGAAGAAGAAGAAGAAGAAGAAGAAGAAGAAGAAGAAGAAGAAACAAAAAGAAGCAAGTCTAAGATTGAGATAAAAGCCAAATTACTCCCGCATTTCAACTCATTATTTCTTTCATCTTTCTAAAATGATGTTTGGTCATTGAATTATCGATTTCGGGAAGTGGGTTGACTTAGGAACTTTTCAACACGTGGTAGTAAAACAAAACGCGCGTAAAAAAATAAAAAAAGAATAGTAGACTGCAACGAGGGGAAATAATTTAGAAATCGATTCTCATGCACGTTTTTCTTTCGGCGATGGTACAGTATGAGGCACCATATAAAAGCTATTAGAGGCTTTAAAAGTGAAAGTGAAAGTGAAATTGTAGCAGAGCCGTGAATTTTATTTTATGTGTTCATTTCCCAGAAAATCTATTCCCATTGGTAGATCCAATAATAGAGTATATATATATATATATATATATATATATATATATATATATATATATTTTTATATATATATATATATATATATATATATATATATATATATATATACACAAATATATCTATATAAAACATCTGTCTATATATCTTTATATTTTTTATATGTTTATTATTGTAATTTATATTGTTATTGTTATTTTTAATTATATTTTATTTTTTTACATACTTAACTTCTAAAAAAAAATATCTATATCCGATTGGAACAATTTGCTTTCATGACATATTCCGGTTTATTTCCGACGTAAATAATTTAAAAACTCAAATTCAGTATCAAGAATTGGCGAAATATTACAAAAGTCAACCAGGAAATGTGATAGCGGGTGTAACTGCAAAATTGTCCAAATCCTGTAACAGCAAATTTGTCCAATTACTAGATTAACCTTTGTATCTTAATTTTCCAAATGTAAGAGAAGCATCGTGATGAAATCGGTCATAAACGAACATGACATAATTAATTAATCATAGCTAAGGATCAGAAGCTCATGAAGGATTGAAATTAAGTTCAAATCTATATGTATTATTCCAGGATCATTTTCAAGGTGAATATATATATATATATATATATATATATATATATATATATATATATATATATATATATATATATATAAAATTGGCCAAATTATGTAACACCAAAAATGTCCAATTCTTAAATTAAGCTTTGTTGTATCTTAGAAATGATCAAAGATATTTTACTGGAATTCTCCGAAGTTTTTATAATACCGTTGAACTCTACAGTGAACAATAAGAATGTATTTCGCTCTAAGTAGAAATGATGATCCCTCTTGCTGTTGTGACCTCCTCGTCCATGTATAATTACTCTCTAAGCTTAACAGCAGAATCGTAATGAAATCGATCATAAACGAAAATGACATGTTCATCATTAATTGATTATAGCTAAGGATTAGAAGCTCAGGAAGTATTGGAATAAAGTTCAAATCTATCTATCTATCTATCTATCTATAATTATTTATTTTAAAATTATAACATAAATATGTTATAAAATCACTACAAAAATAGCCATTTTCTTTCAACACCTTTGGTGTCTTATCAAGTGATGATGTTGAATGTTCATTGTAGAATATATATTATAAACTAACTCTTTTAAAAATATGGTTTCTTCGCTACACAGGAATTACCATGTTTCAAAAGCCGAAGCTAAAAATTTAATTATATAATTAAATTAAAATCATTAGTTCTGTTTCATCTTCAAGCGAATTTTGGAACCAAAAAATCGCTTGAAGATGAAACAGAACTAATACTTTTAATTTAATTATATTATGAGACCTCGCCGCCATTACTGTATTGCACTTATATTCATAAAGTCTAGGTACCCTAACGAAGACCTCATCCGAACGGTTACCATGGAATTATTTGTAGAAAAGGCAGAAGGAGGCAACTTTACGGCTGTGCAAAAGTGATTGAAACCGAGATGCCAGATCAGGACAAATAATATTGCTGATTTTTCTTTTGATTTTATCAAGAAGCTCTAAATATATAGCAGGGACACCAAACCGTATGTGGCAGCAACATTCAAGGCATGGATGAATGGTAGACTTATAGATATGTAAGATAAATTCTGGAGAGAAAAATTGTCTAGCACGACACAGTGAACCCACTTTCTTAGCAGCTGCCCTAGCAATAGATTCAATATAGTCTTTTATGTCAGCCGGGAATGTTAGCACGAAAAAAAAAGGCGTAACAAGTCACTTTCGAGGAGGTTAGCATCAGCCGTGCTAATAGAAGGTAGAATGCGTTCTCTCAGATGATTAACAGAAGGAAGCATAAATGTTGGAGGTGTTAAAATTATGAAGCCGTCCTTTGTTCCAGTTATGAACGGATTGAAGGTCGGTTTTAACATCAGCAGCCAATTTGGTTGTTTTTTTTAAATTTATTAGCGGCATATTAACACCTCTGTGGGTTATCGAATGCTGAAATCTAAATACGAAAATTAAAACATTATATTTAATTAATTCCAGGCATTGACATTATTTCATGATTAAATTAAAATTACTTAGATGCATTATTTAAACCAAATAATCTTTCACAATTAAACATGCAGTTACAACTTGTTTTTTTTTACAGGAAATAAATGAGTCATCATAGCAAATTTTATTTTTATTTTTATTTCTTTTTTTTACCAATGAAAGCTACGTCTTTAATTTTACTATAGAATGCGTTGTCATATTTTTAAAGCATTTCACCCCAAGCAAGGCGGGAGTGCCACTAGCACGCAAGGGGTTACAGAGAGTGGGAGCAAGAGTAAAGAGGCGCGAAAGAGGAAAGGATAAAGAGAAGGACGGGGGAATTGGATCGAGGCATCTGGAGATGTCGATTGACATTGCACTTGAATATTTGGAAATTATAGCTATCAGGGAAGTAAGTAAAAGGAAGGGAGTTCCACAGCATGGAAGTGTGAAATGTCGCTATAAATATGTGTCATATAGAAAGAAAATGAGTAACTACCAACACTGAGATTGGAGCCTGACACTCGCCAGGTGTATAAATAGTGGTGTCAGGCTACTGACTGCGGTGATTATTGAGTGGAACTATCCAGTCGAATTAGTGTGAATTTTTGGGCGTCGATGATTTTGATTTTGATTTAGGATTTACCGGACGTTAAGCCGAGCCGTTCAGTTACTAACAAAGTATTCACTGAAATGGTTAATTATCTTTGGTTGACTTTTACTTCTTTGTTCTTGTTAAGTATTTATTTGCGGTTGTAATTAAATACTGTTTTATCTTAACATTGAATTCTTGAGTTGTACTTAATTATTAACGACCACCGTATATTACAAAAATATGTACTATTGCTAAAATTCCCAACATTTCTTTGATAAACGTATATTTCTGGTAATTTCACTACAAAAATGTATCGTTGGTACATTATTTATAAAAACGCATTGCTTCTATTTTTACTACAAGAATGTATTTTTTATACTTTCAATTTTTCTTTTATATTTTATTTTAGTTTGGTGGGGTTAACTATTTGCCCATAGCTGGGACCCTAACAGGTGCTGCCATCCTGGGTGAGAGGGGACCTGGCAACAACAGCAAATTGAAAACCTCCACTCTACCGATCAGTGACCTTGCTGCCGGATGCAGTTTATCGTCATACCCAGGGCGGAGGATTAAAAAAAAAAGTTGACATAACGAAAATCTATGATAATATTGCTAATAATATTACTAATGTAATAAAAAAAAAGCGATTGAAATTAAGATGAAAGAAATAAAAGTAAAAAATAAAGAATTGTTGACAATATTTAATCTACTAATAATAAAATTCAAGATAACATTTGCTCCTGTATGTCAGATCGGTTCGATAGGGTCAACTTTTCATAGCGATGCGCTAACGATTACCGAAGATTGACATTCATGAAAAGAACACTAGTAAAAGAAAAAATAAATAAATAAAAAATAA